CTGAGCCAGGCTGGCTGGTCTGTCATCTACAGCGCCTTGGAGTACCACGTACCCACTTAGCTCAAAATGTGGATTGTTGGGACCGCCACAGAGGGTTGACTTGGTTCCGAAAAGCAAATCACCCTGACGCCATCTCAGCTCCAAGGAGACGGTTTCCCTTCCCCTAATCCCTGAATATTGCAGGCCTGAGCCCTCAAGAGATGGATAGCTGGTTGACTGGGTTAGCTTGATTGGCATGCTGTGGATTACATGAAGTCTTCAGTCATGTTCGCTTTGAGATTTGTGGATGTTCAGGTTTACCAAAATGCACTCGCATCATTTATTTAAAAAAAGTGTAAATCTCTCATTATTGGAGTACATACAGAATGCTTTCTGTTGCATATGTGATTGGAATACATATTCTGGTACAAATTCCCTGAAATGCTAACAATGGTGTTGGAGGTTGCTTTGCACATGATAAATATGAAAGCCAAAAGATAGACTTTATTAAGACTGACATTTTTCAGTGAAGGAGAATGTAGTTTTAATCTATGTGCTTGCACACAGAGGGAACACTTTGAAATCTATTGTAGAACTATTTCCCTGTCCGCCGCTCATTATGACTAGAGTCTCTTGGTATTTGAGCAGAAAATGGGTTTTGTTCAATTGTAGATGAGATGCATATTTAAATTTTTATTTTTATGATTTAGTGTAAAATATAATCTTGTAAGGCAATATTTTTTCTTTTAAAGCAATGATTTCAGTGTCTGTCACAACATTTGTGAGTGGTATTCTCTGGATCCCTTTACATTTAAGCAAGGTACAGAAAACATTTGAGATTAAAGCAAGTTGTGTTGAGGACTTTCTAAGTTTCTATTCTGACAGTGCGAATATTTTGACAGAATGTACATCAACCAGATCACGCTTAATGAGAGAGCACACCTGGGTTAATGTGACAGTCTGAAGATTTACATAAAGCCTTCAATAATTGCTTTTTAACACATTTAATTAATGCCTTCAGCATTTGAATTCTCTATTGATTTCAACTTAAGGCATCGCCCATCAAAGTAAATTCACCTCTTACCCTCCTAAACCCCAAGCTAAGCTAAGCTTCAAACACAGTTTGTCTCTGGGTCAGAAAGTTATGGGTTCAAGCCGCACATAGACATGTAAGCATATATTTATTAAGCGTATAGTCCATACTAGCACTCAGCGCAGTACAAGTGGTGCATTACATTATCGAAAATGCTGTTTTTGGATGAGACATTAAACCAGTCTGACTGTTCATTTGGGTGTTAAAGGTTCCATGACACGATTTGGTTACATAAGGGAGGTTCTCTGGCGGGGAAAAAAGACCTTCGGTTTAATTGTTTGTTTTTTTTGCCTTTCCGTGGACTTTACTTTGTTGGCACAAATACCTTCTGCGTTAGCCTCCAAATTGTGAAGACATTTGTTTTTTTAACCACGGAATGTTGCATGTTCCTATCCTGTTGAGATTAAGGCTGGGCAAGGTCAAAAAATGAGCATATGGCGCGGAGGAGGGCTGTTTGGCAGGTTGATAATGTTAGCGCCGCTCTCCATCAAAGGTCAGTGTCACTGGGAATCACAGACTGAGCTGTGTAGCTCTCGCTGTTCACTATGGAGAGCTTCATTAAAATGAAAACAGAATGGAGAGCAGCAGGGAAGGAGGAGCTCCAGAAACGATGACGAGAGAGTGGGAGCGGGGAAGGCTAGAGGAACGAAAGCCAGAGAAGAAAGTGGCTGTGAGATGACAGATCAGCAGGAAGGAATTGAGACAAGCAAATTAACATTGCAGAACCGATCCAGCTTTGACACAAGAGAGGTGCACAAACCTCAAACACAAAGGACTACACTTTTTATTATTAGTAAACAATCATGTCAGAATATTGTTCAACATGTTTTTTAAAATGTGCTTCCATGTTTCTCTTTGTAGTCTGCAGATTAGGCTTGTATGGAAATTCTGCAATGAATGATAATTAAATTCACAGTCGCAGAAATTTTAAAATACTTTTAAATTTTAACTTTTAAATTTTACGCGCTCTGTAGATGGTGACAGATTTGTCTTTTGGCGTATACAGTGTTAAATCCACAAAGGACAGTGTATATATATAAAAACAAATCCTTGCATTTCATATAACGGCTTTCACATCAAGAGGATGTCTCATAGCGCTTCACAAGATTTACTATAAAGTGTAGCAAACTGTGATTTTTTGGTGGAGGAAATGTGGCAACCAATTTGCACACAGCAATGTCCCACAAACAGCCATGAAGTGAATGACCAATATTATCTGGAGGATTGTTGGCCAGGACACAAGAAGAAACTCCCATTTTTGAAACGTACCGTAGGATCTTTAAACCTCTTCCTGAAAAGGCAGATGGAACTTTGGTTTCATCTGAAGGGTCACACCTCCGACAATGCAGCAATTTCCCTCAAAAATGCACTTGAGTGTCAGGCTTAGACTGTGAGCTCAAATTCCCTATGTGGAGTTTAAACCTTCTGGCTCAGAGACAAGAGTATGGAGACAAAAGTGAGGTGGACTGGAATAAATGAACTGGAAAAATCACCTTATTTCTTTTTTTCTTTTCATATTGTGATTTCATTCTGCAAGTCAATAGTTCACTGTCATTGCAGAACATTCATTTGGGGAGTCACAGTTGCTATGTTCTTTGCATGTTTTTGTACTTTAATTGATAAGGAAGGTAACTTAAAATAAATTTTTAAAATTGACTTTATGCTCCCAAGTGTCTACTGTGAATCACTCGAGTGAAATATCGTTTTGTAAGACATCATAGGGCTACCAGATCGATTTCAAGATTCTCACTTTAAATCTCTTCACACCCAGCACTTCTCTACCTCTCCAATCTGCTCATACGGTACCCCACTCCTCTACCCACCGCATTCGCTCAGCTGGCACACGTCTCCTGCAGGTCTCTCGTCCCCTCTGCTCCACAATTGGCAGCCGTGCTTTCAGCCACTATCCCCCGAAGATGTGAAACTACTCACCTCAATTCTTCTGTCTTACTGTCTGCTGTCTTTAAATCACACCTGAAGACTTTCCTCTTTGACTATGCCTTCAGTATCTGCCCCCCGCCCTTTCTGGTTCAGTGACAAGCCACTGATAATTCACTACCCTCGTGAAGGGCGCTTTGCAAGTTGTTCTAACAAACTTGTCTTTATCTAATGGTAGTTGCTTAAACTGCATTATTTTAAGAGCTGCACGCATTAATAATCTGCGAATGTTTTGAACTCTCTTGTTATTCTGTGGGAATGAATGTATTGCGTGTGAATGCAGTCTTGCCAATCATTCCCCCTTCAATTTAATCTGTCACCTAATATTGTAGTATTTGGACCTGGTTAAAAATGCCTGTATTGTCTGGAATTACTTTAAGTTATAACTGTGACTGCAGTGTAACATGTTTTGACAAGTCACATCCTGCAGAGGCATTTTCTTCTTCAACAGCTATTATCACCTACAAAATATTCAGTTCCTACACTTTACAGTATACCCCGTGAAGTGCTTTGAGACATTACCCTAACGCGAATGCCATGATAATCAAATGTAATGGTTATTATTATTATCAAATTCCACCATAATGACAAAGTCCTAACTGAAATTTTTCTTAACCTAAAAACACTTTTTAAAAAGAGATTTTTCCCCATCTTCCCGTGACTGTTAACCCTTCACTCCTCAAAGTGCTTGAAAACATCGAGCCAATACCCAACTGGTCTATTCGATCTGAAGATAATGGTAGCTCCAAAAACGTTCTGATGGGAAAAGTCTGCAGCCTCCATCATGGCTTCTTACTGCAAAGACTCAATTGTTGCATTCGCAATAAAATATATAGTAGTTGGAAACGTCCTCAATGCAAAGTAAGGAAAGATAAACCCGACTCTGCTGTTGTTATGCCTGTACAATATGCAAACCTGTTTTTAAATGTGTGCAAATACTCAAAGATCACACACTTTATTGCATCGTAATGCAGAATACGCTGTTGGAAAGCCTGCTTTTCACTTTGCCACAGTCACCTGCATTTCTTGTTGTGGGAGAGGGTGGTGTTGGTTCGAAATTATTTATCAGTCACATCAACCAACACTTAACATTTTTGTTAAGACATTTCACACTTCTTGAATTTGTCTGTAATGTATTTTTATAGAAAATCTGGTGTTTCAATGGGGCTCCCCATTCAGCATAACACCACTCTGAACGGCAATTTCCAAAAACACTGTTGATGGTTTCTTAAGTGTCTGTGGTAATTTCAATGAAACAGCAATGAGCAGATTTGTTCAATAGGAAGGAAGTTGGGCTGGATTGAAGGGCCTTAGCTCAGGTGAGAGATTGAGTAATCTTTATCATCCTTAGAGCAGAGGAGTTTAAGGGTGCTTTGATTGAGGTATTGAAAATAACGAAAGGAGTTAACAGTTGCATAATGAACGACTTCCCTCTGGTAGAGGGAATCATTACAAAGGGGACATAACCTTGAAGTCAGAGCTAAGATTGAGGTCAGGAAGCATTTCTTCACACAGAAAGATGTAGAAGATGTAGAATGCTCTGCCCCAGAAAGCTGTTGTTTACTTAGGAGCACTCTCACCTCTGAGCCAGACCATTGTGGGTTCAAGCAACACATTGAGACTTGGAACTCATATAGTCTAAGCTGACACTTTAAACCGAGATCCTGTTTGGTTGTTCAGGTGGACACTAAAGATCGCATGGCACTTTTCGAAAAGAAAAGGGAGATTCCTTTGGTGTCCTGCCCAACAATCCCCTAAATAAAATTGGTCACTCACCCCTTGGCTGTTGATGGGACATTGCTGTGTCCAAGTTGGCATGCATTCACCTACAAAATATGCAGTCATTGGATTTTAGAGTATTTCCTTGTGGAGTGCTTTGGGAAGCCTTCCTGAAGTGGAAGGCGCTATACCAAATGTAAGGATTACTATTATTTTATTTCCCATCCAAGACCAAACCATTGCATTTTACAGTATAACATTTTCTCTGCAGATTCCTCAAAAAAACTGAAAGATGTGCTGGCGGAGTTTCATGGCGATGGGGTGCTGTCCAAGTACAATCCTGAGCAGGTAAACATTATTCATTTCCTTAAGAGGTTCTTTTTAAAACCAGACTTTTAAATTTTACAATGACCCTATTTTTTGTGATAAATGTTCTTGAATGCTCTTTGCTGCTTTTAATATACAAATGTTTTGCTCTGGTGCAGAATAAGAGAACTTTAACATTTCAGTGAACAAAGAAGATTGAATCCCTTAAGTACAGGGTTTATAGATGGCTTGGTTTAAAAATAGAATATGGACATTATTCTCATTGCAAAAGAGTATGTGTTTCAATAGCAGCTATTACATTGCACACTTAGTCTCCTCTGTCATTATTATTTTCACTTGGCATCTTCTAACAGTAGTTTAACCTTTATAGAACTGAATGGAGGTCTTGACTCTATTCTCCATCACTTGTGTGCCCTGTGTCGTTAGTTGACATATATCTGATAAGGTGATGCTTACATTTTTTTTCCTGGAAAGTAAATGCTGTGTAGGCATAACATGGTTTTGTGTGTTTTTGTCTGTGTGTGAGTGCATGCGACACAGCCAAGAACACGCATCAAAATGATTTAATGTCACAACCCAATCTTTGGTAAGGAATATGTTACACGTTGCTATCTCCATCCATTATACAGGATCTCTGCGGACTTACCACTTAGCTAATTCAGTGATGCATAATGAATTTGAGAGAGGTACTTGAAATTCAATTTTTGTGATGAAAAATTATTACCTCCGGGGGCTACAAATTCAGTTTTCTGTCTATGAAACATGAAGTTAGATTGGTCACGTGATTTGGGGAGTACATTAAGATGGATTGCATAAATTTACACATCAAATTCTGATGGGCAGCTTGGATGAGTTTTGTAAACATAGGGGTCTGCTGTTCATCGAGTGGAAATGGCCTCTGATGCCTTCCTGTTCTAGGATGATTTTAATTAAGTAGGAAATAGCATTATTTTTAAGAGCTACACAGATACTGTAAAAATTCTCAGCAGAAAGAACAGCTTAAACTTGGATTCCGGTGGTCGTAGACCACAGAGTTTGCTGTAAAAATATCTGGAAGACATATAAATGAAAAACACAGCAAAGAAGTCTGAGGGCTGCAGTTTGCTGCTGAAAATAGTTATGCCAGGGGAAGGAGGCGGGAAGAGAATTATGTACGTATTTACAACGCTAGCCGTGTCCTTTGCTGTGTTCCCTATTCCTACTTCTCATTCACTGACTACTCCCTGTGTGTTCAGCTGCCTGACAAGGTACACTTTGTGAAATGAGAAATGTATTTCTTTCAAAGTACACCAAATCCTCACAGTGAATTGCTTAGGGAGTTTCCCCACCATAGAGGCGTGTATTGCTAATAATACTACCTGTATTTGCATTGGTCTAAATATAGCAACAGCCGTCTATCCTGCTGTATTATATATTTGTTTATGGCAGCTCTTTCTCTCTATAATCGCATTTCCCTCCTTTTCTCCATATTCCTTCATTATGTTACTTCCTAAGCCCCCATCGATTGCTCTCGCTTGAAACACTTCCATTGGTTTTGCATTTATGGCCTTGTGGAGCAGGGCATTCTGCGTTTCTATAGCGTTGGTTTCCAAATTGTTTTTTAGCTCGCACTAATATATCCTTTGGAAGTGCTAGAGGCCACTGTGTAGAATCCTCACATCTGAGCAGAAGCCAAGTGAAGGGTGTGGACCATAATGGAATATTAAAAAGCAAAACAAAAAATAGAAAGACAGACATGACATATCTTGCTGGTAGCTGCTAGAAAATGAAGCTAAAGTTCACAATGTGACTTTGTTGAATCTTTTCTGGAACAGTGACAAGGAATTTAAAACCAGAATGATCAATATTCTCACACCCTCTTTGTTGAAGAATGTTTTCGAATCGGACTTCTTTCCAGTCTATAGTTCAAATTTTAAGTTTAGGTCTCCTTGTTATGGAATGTGTGTCAACATGACTCAGTGGTAGCACTCTCGCCTCTGACTCGGAAGATTGTGGGTTCAAGCCCCACTTCGGGACTTGGAATCACATCATCTAAGATGACATTCCAATGCAGTGCTAGGAATATGTTGTATTGTCGGAACTGGCATCCTTTGGATGAGAAGTTAAACCAAGATCTGCCTATTCAGGTGGACATTAAAGGTGCCATGGCGCTGTTCAAAAAGAGAAAAGTTTCTCCTGATGTCCTGGCCAACAAACATCCAAATAAAAAAATTGGTCACTCACTCCATGGCTGTTTGTGGGACATTGCTGTTCACAAACCAGCTGCCATGTATTGCCCACAAAATACACAGTCAATCCACTTTACATTAATAATAATCCTTGCATTTGCTATAGCGCTTTTCACGTCTTCTGGACTTCTCAAAGTATATCCTGTGAAGCGATTTGAGATGTCTCGACAATGTGATAAAGCTCTATATTAAATGCAAGGATGATTATTATTTCCCTGTACAAGAGAGAAGAGTCACCCACTATATTGCTTGTCCTTTCATAGCACAAAATGTGAGAAAGAATTGGGTTCACTCCTGTGAGATTTCTAAATCAATTTGCCCTTGCAAAACAAATCCAATTAAATGCTTTTTTGTCCACGTTAATCTTCACAAAGAATTGGCTTAGTTGCAATCCTATTTCAGAAAATGTTGCCAAAATGAACAAGATTTGTTTGGGGCATGAGGCAGGGAGGGAGGGGGGAAAAAATCTGAATAATTATTTTATTTTTCGAAGAGAAGTAATTAACTCCGTGTCTATTACAAAGCTAAATATGTTAAATTTCTACTGTTATCGTTTACATCAAGACTGATGCTGGTAATAGCTTGTAATCCAGAAATACCAAACAAAAGGATGTGCTGTTGGAATGAAATGCAAATCACTGTTCACATAATCTTCCAGTGTGCTGCCAACATCAGGAAGCTTCCAATATTGTCTGCCACCAGCTGCATAATTGTAACCTGATTTGCCATCACAGAAATTGTGTCCCGTTTTAGTGATGCACTCGACAAAGGAGGCTGAGTGTTTTTTCACCACTAATTTCAACCCACAGATGGGCAGAGAACCTCACTTGTTAACTTAAGTGACAATGAGCATTCATTGGAACACACTATCCTTCTTAGCAGCAGCCATACAAGTCTTCAAGGGGTCCTCCTGACTTGAAAGACACTACATCAAATGCAGGGATATTTTTTACCCATTCTATTTCCAGTTCCACTGATGGTTTGCAGCTGCTGGCACAAAGGTGCTACCTGTTTCAGATTTATGTTGCACACAGGGATTTTTCATTGAAAAGCAAACTCCCTTCAAATTAATTTCTTGCAGTCTCCCTATTGAATTGATTATTTTCCCATTGGTTCAGGTTTTGTAGTTGGCTGCTCAGGTTTCACTTTGATTCGTAATGAAAAATTGTGTACTTTTTGTGTGTTCCCCACTCCCCGATCCCAAAATAAGAAAACCTGGTGATCATCTTACAAAATAATACTGCTTTTGTCAAATATATATATATTTGAAATATATCTATATAACATATATGTATATATATATATATTTCAAAAATGTATCTCTGGGCAACAGTAATGCAACACAAAGTGATCACTGTATGTGATTGAAACTACTGGTCCTTTACAAAGGCCAGCCTCCAAATAATATAATCTCCAACCTCATGTTAGCTTCACTTCCATCTCCAATGAGAATGGAGTTCCTGTGGGTTGACATGATGCATTTTAGGTTAGCAGGTCAGCCGCCACATTTGCTACTCGCAACTCAGATTTGTTATATGTGATTTCAGTCACAAATATATTAGACTCCAATACAACTTAAACTTAAAGTGGGTCGGGTTAGAGAGCGAGTTGCTTTACTCTTTCAGTTTCTACTTGTGGAGTATGGGACAGCAAGAAAGCATTGATTAACAGTTGCACAGATTGGCGGAGAACCTAACTTGTTAACCTAAGTGACGAAGAGCAATAACATTCACACGTTAGGGCATGACATCCTTCTTAGCAGCAGGCATACAAGTCTGTGATCGCTGTCTCAAATAAAACCTGGGTTGAGTCCTGTAGAGAGTGTCAGTGCCTGTCTGAGCACTGCTGACCTTGCCTCTAGTAGTTCCAGACCTCAATCTGTCTACCGCGTGACACATATGTGATTCTGATTGCAGTTTAGTAAATACACTAACAGGCACGAGGTGGCTAAATCAGTCACAGCCAAATGGAATGTACTTTTGTGGCTGAAGTAGCGAAATTGTGTTTTTGAAGCGGCAATTTCTGTTTTAACGGGTTCAGTCAAATAGTTACTGGTGCAGCTAAGTTTCCTGGTAATTACATTTCATTATCAAATTAGCGTTGAAACTATTTAATGTATGTGAGAATTAAAAGGGGCGAAAATGGCGACCATTATCAATGTTAGGTCTGTACCTTCCCTTTTTAGACTGGCACCTGTAAGGAGAAACACAACATTTAATGTCTGTTTTTGCAGCTTTACAATACTGATGAATGCCTAGCTGTCTCTTTTTGCAATTTATTTAGTCAATTTCCCTTTGCCAAATAGCTACCTAATTCACTTGTGAATTTGTTGACACAATGCGCCTCCACATCCTCTCTGAGTAGTCTATTGCACACTTTCTCCACTCTCTGTGTAAATTAATTAAATCCGAACGGTCTGTTTACCTGTGCTCTTCTGAACTTGAGTCTATGGCCCTTGTAGATATTTTGATGTGTTGAACACATCGTACTCCGATAAGGTCTCTTCTGAATCACTTAAGATAAAAGATAAAAGGTGACTGGTTTGGAAAAGAGGAGAATTAAAGAGGAAGTAGGAGTGAACCAGCGAGCGGGATTAGATGAGGTGACTCAAAGACTTGTGCAGACTTGTGAGCTGAATGTCCTACTTCTGTGATGTTGGCTTCTATGATTCTGACATCTGCATCATTTATTTCTCTCATGGAATATGTTGCCTATAATAATAATAATAATCCTTGCATTTGATATAGCGCTTTTCACGTCGGGAGGACGTCCCAAAGCGCTTCACAGAACACA